TTTGACCCTTAGAAGTATGAGTTCGCGGACTGTACAATTCTTGGTGATTTTGCGTACATAAGCTATCTATGTTTATCTATTTATTTATGGTTCTATTACATCCGGTTCTTAACATGCGTCATTATTGAGTGTCCTCGACCTGCGTCCTCTTTGTGTGCCATTTTTGAGCATTATTGCCCCCTCAATTTGAGATTCAGCATTGTCTCATATAAGTGCGTTCTCTTTTCCGATAGAGAACATTAAAGAAAATGTGTCGTTGTGATTTCAAGGGCTCAGTTACATTTCATATAGTTACACTTCCCATTACACTTCCTGTAATGACACTTCCTACAGTTATTCTTGCTATAATTACAATTGTTATAGTTACAATTGCTATAGTTACGTTACCTATTAAGTTACATTTCTTATGAGGTTACATTTCCTATAGAAGAATAACGAAAAATAGAACAATAACAAAAGGTAGAAGAATAACAAAAGGTAGAAGAATAACAAAAGGTAGAAAAATAACAAAAGGTAGAACAATAACAAAGGTAGAAGAATAACAAAAGGTAGAAGAATAACAAAAAGTAAGGTAGAAGAATAACAAAAGGTAGAAGAATAACAAAAGGTAGAAGAATAACAAAAGGTAGAAGAATAACAAAGGTAGAAGAATAACAAAAGGTAGAAGAATAACAAAAGGTAAAAGAATAACAAAACGTAGAAGAATAATAAAAGGTAGAAGAATAATAAAAGGTAGAAGAACAATGAAAGGTAGAAGAATAACAAAAGGCAAAAGAATAACAAAAGGTAGAAGAATAACAAAAAGGTAGAAGAACAATGAAAAGTAGAAGAATAATAAAAGGTAGAAGAATAATAAAAGTTAGAAGAATAATAAAAGGTAGAAGATTTACAAAGGTAGAAGAATAATAAAAAGTAGATGAATAACAAAAAATAGAAAAATAACAAAAGGTAGAAGAATAACAAAGGTAGAAGAATAACAAAAGGTAGAAGAATAACAAAAGGTAGAAGATAACAAAAGGTAGAAGAATAACAAAAGGTAGAAGAATAACAAAAGGTAGAATAATAAAAGGTAGAAGAATAATAAAAGGTAGAGGAATAACAAAAGGTAAAAGAATAACAAAAGGTAGAAGAATAACAAAAAGGTAGAAGAATAACAAAAGGTAGAAGAATAACAAAAGGTAGAAGAATAACAAAAGGTAGAGAATAACAAAAGGTAAAAGAATAACAAAAGGTAGAAGAATAACAAAAAGGTAGAAGAATAACAAAAGGTAGAAGAATAATTGAAGGTATGAAGAATAACAAAATGTAGAAGAATAATAAAAGGTAGAAGAATAACAAAAGGTAGAAGAATAATTGAAGGTATGAAGAATAACAAAATGTAGAAGAATAATTAAATGTAGAACAATAACAAGAGGTAGAATAACAATTAAAGGTAGAAGAATAACAAAATGTAGAAGAACAATTAAAGGTAGAAGAATAACAAAAGGTAGAAGAATAACAAAATGTAGAAGAATAACAAAATGTAGAAGAATAACAAAATGAAGAAGAACAATTAAAGGTAAAAGAATAACAAAAGGTAGAAGAATAACAAAAGGTAGAAGAATAACAAAATGTAGAAGAATAACAAAATGAAGAAGAACAATTAAAGGTAAAAGAATAAAAAGGTAGAAGAATAACAAAAGGTAGAAGAATAACAAAAGGTAGAAGAATAACAAAGGTAAAAGAATAACAAAAGGTAGAAGAATAACAAAAAGGTAGAAAAACAATGAAAGGTAGAAGAATAACAAAAGGTAGAAGAATAAGAAAAGGTAGAAGAATAACAAAAAGGTAGAACAAAAAGTAGAAGAATAATTGAAGGTATGAAGAATAAAAAAAGGTAGAAGAATAACAAAATGTAGAAGAATAATAAAAGGTAGAAGAATAACAAAAGATAGAAGAATGATAAAAGGTAGAAGATTAACAAAATGTAGGAGAACAATTAAAGGTAGAAGAATAACAAAATGAAGAAGAATAATAAAAGGTGGAAGAATAACAAAATGAAGAAAAACAATTAAAGGTAGAAGAATAACAAAAGGTAGAAGAATAACAAAAGGTAGAAGAATAATAAAAGGTAGAAGAACAATAAAAGGTAGAAGAATAATAAAAGGTAGAAGAATAATATAAGGTAGAAGAATAATAAAAGGTAGAAGATTAACAAAAGGTAGAAGAATAACAAAAGGTAGAAGAATGATAAAAGGTAGAAGAAAAAGGTAGAAGAATAACAAAAGGTTGAAGAATAACAAAAGGTAGAAGAATAACAAAAGGTAGAAGATTAACGAAAGGTAGAAGAATAACAAAAGGTGGAAGAATAATGAAGGAGAACAATCATATAATCGTAAAAAAAGCGATCAAAGTTGTTTTCCAAAAAAGTGAAATTATCCTTTCACTAAACAAATATTATTTTTTAATCTCCTGTTTTTTTGTAAGCCAGCTTAGTTTTGTATTGTACAGTCCTGTGAATGTTATGTATATTGTATATAAACACTTAACTTAATACCATAATCTAATGCATTATAGAAAATTGATTTTTTTCTTATCATTATGGAATCTCGAGTAGGCAGGTTATTCTTCTTTATATATATATCTTTATTGTCTAAATTAATGGTTGTCCGGGTGTCTGTCTGTTTGTTTGTTTCCCAAGTTCCCAACGATATCAAAATACTAACCATCGAGCAAACCAAAACTCTTCTCAAAAGAAAACAAAAAAATCTGCGTTTTTAAATTATTATTTTCAAAATGCACTAAGTTTGCAAGTGGAGAATTCCATGGCCTAACTTTTCATTGTTTGCCCACTAAATAGGAAAATTTGTGGGATTAACAAATAAAAACTAAAATTCTATTATACAGAAACGTGGCGTGAAGTGCCCTCGAAGCCTATCTATGCAGGCGTGTGGGATTTTTAGTCATAGGTTAGAATTAGGTGTGGTGGATAAAAATTAGCTTGCCCACATCTTCAAAGGGGTGTTTTCCCCCTTAAAACCTAGTTGAGCATTTTTTTGCCGCTTCGTGCCATTTATTTTCAAATTTTCTCAAAGCATTTCCCTTTCATCTAAATTTATGCAAAAATTTGGCATGATTTCCCGCAACCCCTATGAAAATCAATGTTTTCCCGCAACCCCTATGAAAATCAATGTTTTCCCGCAACCCCTATGAAAATCAATGTTTTCCCGCAACCCCTATGATAATCAGGGGGAGATTACATTAAGAGAGGAGGGTTAAGGGAGAATAAAGAGGACGGTGTTACTGTATAAATGTTGTATAAATGAGAGATGTATTTATGGTGTATATATTATACTTAACAACTGCAGGCCTACAAGGGAATAATATCACCACAGGGGTGAAATTACCAGTCATTAGGAATTATACACTATACACTATACAGGGGAAACAAAAACTTTGCTAACTTTAACGTAAACAAAAATTGTAGAGGAAATTCTATTGAGAGTTCGATAGGGTGCACTGTCTACAGTGGAATTCGTAAAGTTTTTGGAATAAGAAGACGACTGTTGGACTTAAATTTTTATTTGAAATAGTCTGATGAAGACAGCAATTGCGGCCATGTAATGCAGTGAACATGACCCAGTTACTAGAAATGTTGATTTTCTACCTAAACATTTCTAGCTTAAGATTTCTACCTAAAGATTTCTACATAAAGATTTCTACCTAAAAGATTTCTACCTAAAGATTTCTACCTAAAGATTTTTTATCTTTAAATGTCTAGCTTAAGATTTTTAGCTTAAGATTTCTACCTAAAGATTTCTTTAAAATATTACTGTTTTTTCAACGTTTATGGAAATTAGTCCAGGAGGCTTAACACCCCTTGAGGCCTAAAACCCTTGTAGAACCCCCCCCCCCCCCAGGAAAACGCATCTGTTCGCATACATTATAAAAATTTAAATCACAAATAAATGAAACTTTAAGCTCACAAACAAACTCAATTTCGGAGCGGCTCTAAAGTTTATTTGTAATTATCGTCATAGCCCTGAAAATATCGAAAACAGGATGGAGGGGGGGGGGGAATATAGAGCAGGCATCCCCTCAATTTATCCGGAAGGGGATTTCCCCTAAATTTACCCGGATTCTCCTATACCATGATGAGTTTTATTTGTTTTCTATTTATCCAGGTTAATTGGTTTAGGTCAGTATATGGATATATTATATAGATATAATCTAAACTATATATTTGTTGGCAGGGATTGCTTTATCCTTGGAACCTTTTTATATAGATTTCCAGGGCATTGTCCAGATACAGACAACAGGGGCGTAATGGGGGGGCAGGTATATGTACCCCACCCCCCTTAGAACGCCCTTGCAGTATGTATCTGGACAATTCCCTGGATATTTATATAAAAAGGTTCCAAGCGGACCTCCATCTGTATAACCTCCATTGGCCCCTGGTAATTAAAGATGCAATCCCCCAAAATCTAGTCTTGTCTGTCTGTTTATTTGTATCCAAATTTTAAACCGATCGGGCCCAAATTTTGTGTGGGACCTCACATGACCCAAGGGAAGGTTTATGGATGATCTAAATTTCAAAAATAAGCCTCCAACAAAATTTGTTTTTCATTCAATCTTTTTAAATCCACGACATTTTTTATAAAATCCGCAAAATAAACAAATTTAATGTCGTCCTTTTTCATTAAAAATTAAAATTATATTTAAATAGCGCTATGCAGGGGGGCCGAGCGCTGCGGCTAGGACTTCTCACCAAGGAAATGCCTAAAAAACAGACTCAGGCTATGCAGGGGGCTTCGAGCGTTGCGGCTAGGGGGCCAAGCACTGCGGCTGCATGGCTGTGAAAATCGTTTGAATATTAATATTATTTAATCTTAAATTAAGAGAAGACGACATTAAATTAGTTTTATTAATCCGCGTTTTTTTTTTGAGGCAGTTCCGTACGTTGAGACGTTTCCGTGGGGAGGCGTTTCCATAGCACCGTCTGTTTCCAAAAAAAAGCATCTCAAGTTTGTTATGATGCCATGGGTTCAGAGTGAACGCCAAACAGAGGTCAAAGTAAGCAAAGCGTACACTTTAAGTATAGGATAACCTGTTGGAGTGTACACACATTAAACTGGAAAACAAGACAATGTCGAAATCAAGTTTTTAATTAAAGTAGTTAAAAATTAATCAGTCAAGTTCTTTGCCCTGGACATATTGAGTCAAGAAACATTCCCGACACATTTTTATTTTATTTTTATTCATTTCATTTCAGTTTTTTCTCTCTTTTTTCATGTCAGACGATTTTTATACGATCTTAAAAATGCCTGCCGGAGGTGTGAAGTTAGGAGCTCTAAGAGGTGATATAAGCGCACCAAATGCTTGGAAAAATGTGGGAATAGTTTCCAAACTGTACATTTATCCGCTCAAATCCGCGGCATTTATTCCTGTACAGGAGATGGAGGCCGGAATTACGGCGGGATTTAGCGGATTTATGACAGACAGACAGTTTATGGTGACAGACATGACGGGAAAGATGATTACAAGCCGACGATATCCTAATATGGTTTTAATTAAACCAGAGGTCACTGAGAAAGAAATAAGGTAAATTTAAAATTAGTAATTTCTTTAAATAATATATTTTGAGATATGACACTCTATAAATGTCTGTTCACTTGAAGTTACGTCAACTGTCCCTTTAATTTAAACCTAAATGTTTCAGACTGCAGTATTCTGGCAAATCTGAAATCTGTGTTCCCATTCAAACAGGGTCAATCCTTCTAACATTTAATTAAAATTGTTACTTGGGTTCTTCATTAAACTAAAAGTAACTTGCGGATTTATGGTGCATAAGCAATGAAGGAAACAATCATAATCGAGAAATTACATCTGTTTTAATTGTTTTTTAGTTGATGGTTTAAAGGGTGCCGTTGAAAATTGTACATGCTACTCTAGAATAGGAGAGTCACTAAAAATTACGTGTACAGTCCCTTATATACCCAGGATTAGAGGTTGACCCATGTGTAGGGGAGAGGAGCTGACCTGCAATGTTTGGGGAGATTCATGTAATGGTCGAGATCTAGGAACAGTTTGAAGAGATATAAACTCATCTTTTTATTATTTACATTGAGACCCAGGTAGAAGAATAACAAA